TGTTCTTTAATTCCCACAAAGTCGATTAAATGTCTACAAGCTTATCTTCCATGTCAAATGGTACGCGACCTCTGTGTCGTTCGAATGCCGATCCTTGGTCATCATCTCGATAACAGAATAACTTTGACCACGCCACTCGACGCCATTGCGGAGATAAAGGTACGATGTCACTGGGTCACGCAGCGTGACAGGTAATTCGCCTAATTCAGGGCCTCTTCATATGAGCCCGGTTGACCGGGCTGGCCCGGTTTCCGAGATCTCGCCTTACTTTGAAATCCTTTGTAAAATTCCGCCCTCTCATAGGAACACATCGAAAATTTTTACAAAGGATTTAGAGGTAAGGCGAGATCTCGGAAACCGGGCCCATTTGAAGGGGCCCTCTGTAAATATGTCACTGGGTCACGCAGCGGGACAGGTAAATGCATGTCACGAAATAGCTTAGCTGCTTGGAAAAAAAACTTTGTTAATTTTTTTAACAACAACAATCATATTCAGTATAATAATAAATTGTCACTTAACTGTTAACTTTTAATTTATCAGTTAACTATTAATTTTTGGGCCAAATATCAGTTAACTACTATTTTTTGGGTCAATTGTCAGTTAACTGTTTACCCCATTCGCACCCTCTGCTAGTGCTTCCACGATGACGATCAGAAGAAAATTAAACGTAATAACAGGAACAAAATTGAAATAAGTTCAGCCTTGCGTGACAAATGCCTGAGTGTGTTACATCTACACTAGTAACAGATTGCTTCCCCTCTTCAAAGTCTTCGGCAAAGAATATTTGACCTACCGGTATAAATGATTGAATTGTCCTCTTTCAGGTCCACAGTGAAGCTCAATTTTTCCCTAGAACGTTCTTAAAACTTAAATGTGTTCGAATGTGCAAAGAAAAACAGACGCCCTCTGCTAGCTTACGAAAAGTGTTGTTGTAAAACAATTTTGTCATGGGAAATGGATGACAGCTTGAAACGAAAGCAGGGATAAAAACCAATTTGTCGTTAGCTATGTAAGGTTACATGTAGCCCGTGAACTCGACGAAAGTCGCTCTTCTTCGCTCCTGAGAATCGAAAACCACTTAAAAGTTTGCGTTACCAGACTGATTTATGATGTAGAAAATTATCATGCTTTTACAGGAAAGGAGAACAAAAACCGCTGACCGTATACTGTGGTTTCGTCGCTTAAACAGGAGGGAGATGAGGAAGACACGTGATTGTGTCAGGACAACACATTTGAACAAATATTCTAACTGTGTAAGTCAGTTGGTGCAGTCCTCTGCTGTAGTGGGTATCTACAAGTAGTATTTAACTTTTAGACGTAAGGGTAAGCTAGATTTTGTAAAGGAAACTTCCGTTACTCAGTTCATAGCTCGTCTTGCACGAACATGCAGCAGCAACACATTGGTGTGATGGAATATTGAGTTGGACTTCTAACATGATCCTCAACAGCTTTCGAAATCCACTTTGAAGTCATTTGAAATATCTGTGTAATGACTATTTCTAWTTTTTTTTTTCAATTTGTGTGTGGTAATTGTAGGTTAAAAGTCCCTGAAGTTTTGGAAGGAAGGAACAGATTCTATCGAATGCTCGCGGTTGGAACTCTTGGGACGCAAATTGATCACGTCAAATATCACGCTTTTCAGGATCAATGCTTCATAAAGGTTTGCGAACCACTTTCGTTACGTTAGTGTTCATAAAGTTTCCCACCTACTGCTATTCTAGTACACTATGCAGCCCAAGCTTCCTTTCTTTTRAGATATTTTGATGATTTCGCCGATTTCGGCGCATATGGTTTATTTGAGGTTGACAGTTGCATGATCGCCACAAACCAACCCTCTGAATTTGCCGAAAGTCTCAATTTTTAGATTTTCTGTCATTGGCGTACGTGTTCGCGAGATCAGTCCTCGAGAAAGCTGAACAAAAAGGGGTTGATAGTCTGTTGTTTGGTTCACTACAGGAAAAAAGATATATTTTCCAATATTGGAATGTATTTGGTTCATTTACTGGATTTACCAACATTGGTAAATGGTTATCTTTTCCAACAATGGAAAATGCTTGTTATAGTATAGAATAATACTCCAATGTTTCCAGCATTGGAACATTATATTTTCCAACAATGGAGGACAGGTTTCCAACATTGGAAAACCATTTTACCAATGTTGGCATGATAATGTCCAACATTGGATTTTAGGACATTCCAATAATGGACAAAAGTGTAGCCATCATTGGAATTTTACATATTCCAACAATGGAATAGTATTACACCAACATTGGGATGTTACACTTCCCAATGTTGGAGAAAAATGTCAGCAACACTGGTTCTATGCACAGTCCAACATCGGGCAACAGGTTTCCAACACTGGATCACTGAAGAGTCCCACTTTGGATGAACTGTTTCCAACATATTGGTTTAATACACTTTCCAATATTAGACAATGTATTTCCATCTTGGATTGCTACATATTCCAATATTTGAACTGCTTTGACCATTAATGGCAAATTCAAACTTCACTGTTGGAAATACTTTGTCTAAAGATAGAATTGAAATTATGACTAAGTAAAAAATTAATGGTTTAATTGTAAACCTCAAACAAGTTTGATTTCTTGTTTAAAATATATTTAAAACTTTTCACAGAGATACGAGTAAACTACAAAATGGAACATTGCCAAAATTGAAGAAATCTTTTTCAATATTTGATGCCTTCAAGCTGCTATCAGCTTGTTCCAAAGAAAAACATACAGTTAATTTCCTTTGATTTTATGCATTAACTTTTAAAATAGAATTTACATTTCATAAATGATGGTTTACAAGAAAGTTCTTAATAAATACACGATGAAAAAGCAAGCTAAAAACTGAAACAACACAACAATGACTGGAACAAATTAAACAAAATTCTCATGTAAGAGCTGAAATGAACTTTACAGATTTTACCAGGAGTTACTTGTTAATGAGCAAAGTATTCAATTCATGGATGAGGTTGTGATAAGATAGAAATAGAATCATTTAGATCAAGAGACTCTCATTCACTTTGTGTGATCTTACCCAATAATGCTCTGTCTGCACCCTTCTTAACTTGCTTCCTGGACACTTCCCTATAGTTTACTTCAGAACCATCTTCCACTTCAATCTTAACATGGCCAGCCATCACCAAGGTTTTGGCAAGTGGTAGTAAAAGTTGATATTTTCCCATTGACCTGCACTTTGCATTTAAAGCCTTGCCAAATGGCAAGAAATGTTTCTTAACTATTAATAAATGAATAGAAAGAGTCTCAAAAAAGATGAGTATTATTGTCTCTGCTGATCCTGCAGACATGTCTTCAACACTGCTGCTTGGTTCTAGTTCTTCATAATCAACTAAGAAACCTGTAAAATTGTGAAGAAAACACATACAGTTATCAATAGTGATCATAACAAAATTAATTTCATAATCTAGGTAAACATAGTATGATGTAATTAATATTCAAAATCCCACTAAACTTCATTTCACTTTACCTCAGAATTAGGAGAATGACTAAGCTACATGTACGTTGACATTAAATGCTACGGGTTAATAAAGGCATGATAATAATGAGAATACACTGCAAGTTCAAGATTTTGATCAACTTGTAGTTAGCAAGCCAGTTTTAAAAGCAACAGACATGGGTAGAGAGCCATCTGATAAATTGTTATAGCATAGGCCAGTGGCCAACTTATGAAACACAGTATGGCAATAGATGTTTCCTTTTTTTAGTGTCCTTTTGCCCTCATTGCAACTATTAATGCATATTATTAGTGCTAACATCCAATAGTACCCAAGATGAAGTTAATATCTGAAAAAGGAGACAAATTTCCTTTGCTATAGGTAGTCACTAGTAAAGGAAAGGGACTCAAGATCTTGCCTATTTTCACATTTGCAAGCCTTGCGTAGTCAGCTGGTAAAATCTATGCAACAGTAAGGTATTGACCCTGGCTTCCTGCTCTAATATACATCCCTGAATACCCTAACTTGGTAAATATCCTTACAAAGCCAATCAGACCTCTGTGTGTGGTCACTGGGTTATGCTAAATTATAGGTAAATGCCACGGTAATTACACGCACATATATATGTATATATATAATTATTGACAAACCTTCACTTGACGAGGACAGTGTTGAGCCGGAGCTATCTGAACTGTTTCCTGAAGTGGTTGATGCCCTAGCATGTTTTGCTGGTTTGCGAGTGGCCTGGTAATTGCAAAAAGTTGACTTTTTTTGAAACCAGTGTTGAGTAATCAAAGTTATAGTCTTGTTTTAATGGGCAGAAAGACTTGAAACTTCTTTTCTGACAATGGACATCAATCAGCAGATGCTGAGTGGGCAAAACATCTATGATCAACTTTACAACGTTTTCATGCATCAAAACATGATTATTTTGCAAGTGACAAATTGCAATTATTACTGGTATGACACAGATAAGATGTATGCCACACAACATCTTTATACAGTATGAATATTAAACTATTTAAAGGGCTTATAATATGTGGCATTGCAGGAAACACCATTATACCTCCTAGTCATAGCCATCCTCAATTTTCCTATTTTTTCATGGAACCATTGGAGTATATGACTCTTAATAGCATCTGCGAGAGTCAAATTTTAACATTATATGTATATTGTTCCATAATATAAGTTAAACCGAGCCCCTCCAAAGAATTTTTTCATTTTTTGTTGTTTTTAATCTCCCCATCCCTCTGGAATCTTCAGTTTACTGGTATCTTCACACTTTCCTTTAAGTATTCTGACTTTTAAGACACTCATTCCCAACAAAATATGGATGTTTTCAAATCACTCACCTGCCCACTCGCTTGCTGACTTGCACGATTGATTGATAAATCAATCGATCAAAAACAGTCTTTACCTGAATGTGCTGCACTTATGTGTGTTTGGACATAATCACTTTAAAACTCTCTTCTGCCAAATCCAATTTCTGGTATGGAGCACATTGGCTCCATGCGTGACTAATTCTTCCATCTTCAGCCTGGTAATACTATTTCCTTTGATGTGAATTTTGGAATTTCCTGGCCGAAGTAATCTCACTTCCTGGTTAATCATAACAATCCTAAAGAAGAAAGTATTATAGTCTTTGTAATCAAACTAGGTTGAACAAGTTCAGTAATTCATGTAATACTGAAAAGTTGTCAGACTTACTTTTCCAGATAAGAAGCTTTATGTTGTGGTTTCCAACTGGCTCTGTCACTTTTGCTTATCTTTTTTTCCACCCTTGTTCAGTAACTAATGATAGTAAAGCAACATGATATATGTATGCTATTGTTACTGCTACAAGAATACTGCAGGTCTGGTAAGTAAGACTGGGAGAACGATAATATTTGAACTTAACAAAATAAAAACACTGGGAAGTAGACAAACTCACTTCTGTGGAGTTACAAAGATATTAAAGGCACATTATTTTACCTAAGTGAACAAATGTCTCATATCCATAAAAGAAAGTTGGAGAATTATTATGCAGCGCCACAGATTCCTAGGTAAACTGATTAAAAGGGTGCTTGATTCTGATTTCATAAATTTCTTACTATTTTTGTTATTATCATCTCTTATTTTTAACAATACACACTGTACAATTGTGGAGGCATGGTGGCCTCATGGTTGGTGCGCTTGACTCTGGATCGAGTGGTCCTGTTTTGAGCCCCGGCCGGGACATTGTGTTGTGTTCGTAGGCAAGACACGTTACTCTCACAGTGCCTCTCCTCACCCAGGTGTTTAAATGGGTACCGGCAATTTAATGCTGGGGGTAACCCTGCGATGGACTAGCATCCCTTCCAGGGGGGAGTAGAAATACTCCTAGTCGCTTCATGCTACAGAAACGGGACTTAAGCACTGGCCTAATGGGCCACTAGGCTCGTAACAGACTTTACCTTTACTGTACAATTAAGAACAATAATGACTGTCTGGTTTGGCAGAGGCCTTCTCTTCCCCTTTTGATATCAACTGCTTGACTTTTTCATATACTTCCAATCTCCTTCCTAACGTATTTATTCCTAATTCCTTTAAGTCAGACTTCTCTACGGAGAAGAGAGTCTTGCCTGTAATTTTCTCAGCTGTGAAGAGTAAAAGATAAATCTTGAAAATAAAAAGACATTGAATAAAATGATAAGGCCAAGGCACTGAAAAAAATTGAACAAAAGTAGATGTGAAGGTAAACTTTAATAAAGATCTAGTTTCTATTCAAATTCTAGAGATGATGCTGAAAATAACATTGCTCACTAACCATGAAAGATGTCTGCTTCCTCGTGAAAGCCATCTTTTCGTGGCCAGGAAGAAACCTCTTCACTTGACCATTTCTTTACATCTTCCTCAGTGAACTCACCCTCTATCAAATATTGTGATGTAACACAAAAGAATATAGGACACAGAAATAGAAGAACTAAACAACAGCCGTTAAAGGTTTAATAAAGGCTTCAGTTTAACAGTCGCACTTTCCCCTTCAAGAACAACAAGAGCAAATAACTTTCAAAAATGCTGCTGAAGATGGACATGCATATGACGAATGGCGCGAAATTCTCGATGAAATTCCTTACAAATTTTGGCGAGTCTTTAAGTGAAGAATTCATTGTATTCAAAACACAGACAAACACACTCTTTACACCAAATGATTTAGAGGACAAGTTATAACTGCAGTAATCGTAACCTCACAACACTACGATGATAAAGATGATTTATTTGGTATGAATGATGTTGACGGTATGGGGGTTAAAACTTAAAAGAATAAATGAATACGAAATTACAACAATTGACTTAGTAAAAGTAACAGGAAAGAAATACGCTGAACAAACTTGAAATGACAATATTTACATTGTTACGATTTCTACGAAACTGCTGGACGAATATAAACTGCCCAAAGGCGAATTAAAGATAAACTGGAGTAACTGCTCAAAGCGAATTACTGTATGACTAATGGAAGACTAAACTCTGAACTGAGAAAAACTAATTTATATATGCGAAAACGACTAGCTAACTTAAAGTGCAATTAGCGCCTATATTATGAAAGAAACTAATGAACGAAGATACGTGACTTAGAAACAACAGAAGCTAACTAACCAGCGAGAAAATACTAAAGAACTATGAGAAAAAGTGACAACACAGAGACACCCTAATGATTGATTGAATGAGAAAAACATTCATCATCATTTTTCATCACATTCCAACAATGGCAGACCAAACATGTTTTGTTCCAATTAGATTCCAATGATATTCCAACTAACAGATGGAAAAGGGAAATATATTAACCTTTGTTGGAACTTTCTTGGAATTTTATTGGTTCTACAAAAGTTCCCTAATAATTTTCCAATGTTGGAAGATTTAAACTCAAATTTTCCAACGATTTCCCATGTTGGAAAATGTATTTTTTTTGCTGTGCACTGCTCAAAATGTTTAATTGGTTTGTAGGTTGGTATAGAGGTAGTTTTCACAAAACTTTGTCTGAAATGAACCTCATTATGGTTACAACTTGCTACAAAGTAACACTGATGCATATACAGGAACAAAGGACAGAAAATCGTACAACTTAATCACTTTGGTTTGGCTTTGTAAAGAATTAGCCTCTATTTCGAAAATATCGGCTGTTGTATACTGTTGTTGTTATCGAACTTTTCGTGGTAAAATCCACCGTTTTGAAAATGGGTCAAGCTCTAACAAAACACTGAGTATTTCCTATTTTGTGTGGCGAGTGTGGCAGTGGTTTAGTCGCCTGTCTAACCTTGTTTTCCAACAACTCTGTTGAGGTTAAAAACCAATTATTTATTTTGATTAGTCTATGGGTATTAGTTTTGATGGCCTGTTTTCTAATTGCTTATGATGAGTGAAATGCATCATTAGAATGCATAAACTTCTCTTCTGCTCATTATCAATGGTAATCACAACCATGATGTATGAAAGTTGGTGAGGATTGTTTGCAGTTGAAAGAGTTGGCTTTGAAAATAAACAAATGATGGGAGAATGTGCAAAAAAAATATTAACCAGCTAAGTTCAGAGGGCATTACTGAAATTAATGAATCACTGCTATGGTAACATCTTAATTTTTTTTTGCTTTGAAAGAAGTAAAGCCAAGAAAAGACATAATTATTGATGGCTTTATTTGAAGTAACTAACAGTGATAGCTAATTGCATGGCAATCCTTAGATGTCATTTGCAAAAACAATAATAACATATTTTAATAAAAATGGTCATAAATAGTTAAAAAATTAGTTTGTAATTGGCAAGAATATAGAGTAAACAACATATAAAGAGAGACAACTAACAGAACTTCTTATGAAAAACAAGTGGAATTTCCCACTTTCACCTACGAAACAAATACGGTAATTCTTATTCATCGATAAAACCAATAGTTGTATCAAGTGTTGGAAAAACATTAACATTACTTGGTAGTTTTCAGGTGCCACTGGTGACAAAAACCATTGTGTTTCAAATTATTTGAAAATTAATGTGAATTTTTTTTAAAATGATATACTTTTAACAGCTTGGATTGAATACAGCTAACAGAACTCTTAGAGTAAAAGAAAATGAGAAATTTAAAGACCTATTTATATTTTGGGAAGTAGTTATAAATTACTATCAGCTTATAAAAAGAGAATTGGTTATGATTTACACTGATTTGATCACGTCTTTGGCATTTTTGTCGTTGAATATAACTGTTGCTTTGACAGAAAGAAGCAGTTCAGTGATATCATCATCACTAAGGTCTGTAAACTCTTTCACAAATTCCCCATCCTTTTCTGTTTTAATAGTATACAGTTGTTTAATCGTATCGTCAATTATATTCAGGGAAGTCGTCTTTTCCAGCGATGGTAAGAATACTGGCCATTATTTTACTGCGACATTTGGTCTTCAGTTGCATTAGGCCACGCTCAGAACATTTGAGGATTTTCTTGTCACCGTCCTTGACTTTCGAGTGGCACTTGTCGTGGGTTCAATAAGATTGAACTTAGTTAATTCCTTCTGGTGGGAATTACAGCTTCAATTGTTGTTTTTATTTCTCTAATACAACACCTTCTTGGTCTATCCTTAATCTGTCAGCCTCATTTATTGTGCTGTTTTTCATTAAAGTTGAATAGTTTGTGCAATTAAATTCTTTAGTGGCAACATTTGATATTTTGTAACATTGCCCTGATTTCATTTTACTTGTGTCCTGTTTCCACAAGACCAGCTGTAGAGATGCACTGTTATCTGTAAATAGGACTTCTTGTTTAGTCAAAGTTTTTCTGTGAACATTCACAGTTTCCGCAGAGCCATGAAATAAAATAGGCCTGTGGTGTTGACCAGGGTATTGTTTTCTTCACCTTGAATTTCCTCTACTGAGCTGTCTGTTGCTGCCATGGTTACTTTGCTTAGATGCTGATGATCAAAATCCATCTCACTTTCACAGGGAGCTTGAATGTTTGTTCTTTTGTTGAGAATTATCACGTTCTACAGTCGGTGGAAATGGCTATTTCTGAAACGTCCGCCATGCTACTTTGACTTCCCAATAGGGCTGTCCCTAAGTTGCTCCAATTTTCTCAAAAAGTTGCTCCAATTTTCCAAAAAAGTTGCTCAAAAGTTGCTCCAAAATTCTAAAAGTTGCTCAAAAGTTGCCCCAAAATCCAAAAGTTTCTCAAAAGTTGCTTTCTATTTTTGGGTGTAAGAGATTGATTTACAACTCAAATAACGATTTAATTAATAAATTTCGCTTAACGCAACCACGTGATTGTATTCGAACAAAACAAACTTTGCTAATATGCTTATTAAGGATATAAAGTTTCTCTGACATAAACGAGTGTTTGTGGTATAAAGCCATGTTCTTTCAATATTTACAATATTTACACTGTCCCTGAAGGTTTTGCACCACCAGCTACCCCTCTACCGACACATAATTCATGATTTCATGTGCGCTTATTGTCATTGTAACGTAACATGACCGATGTTTCCACTGTTTCCTCTAATGCTGCCTCTTGCTGCTTACTAAATGCATTTTGTAGCAGGCTAAACACTCGTTCAGCCGATGCTGAACTAGGCTGCACCAACAAGATCTTTTTGACTGCAGCAGACCAATTTGGGAGAGCAGCGGCATGTGTAGCCCACCAATGTACTTTGTCTTCTTCTGTTTCAATGGCTGCACCATCAGCAGTGGCCAGATAGTTTGGCAGCTCTTCCACAAGCTGTACAACCTCTGCATCAGTAATGAAACTAAATTGCTTTAGGTCCTGGACTGATACAGCAGTTGGACGTAGTGCTTGCACCTGTACTGGGCAACATAACCGTGCAGCCTTAAATGCACGAACAACATTGTGGAACTGCACACTGAATTTCTGTTGGTAAAAGCGGAAGCCTGGATTGATGCATGCCTTTCCTTGGGCAACTAACTGGTTGTACAATGCCATATTTCTACCTGCATGTTGGCGAGCTTTGGCCTCAGTGTTTGGATAAGAGTCAATGGCTATTGCATGTGCTAATGCAGACAAACGTTCATAGCAAGCAAATACTAAGGGACCATCCCCCTCAAGATAATAAGTTGCTTGAACAAAGTGCTTGCCCGCATCAATCATAGCAGCAAGCTCAATGTCTAAGTCTCTAGCAGTAACTGGATCATCAAAAATCTCCAACAGGCTTGCACGGCAAACAGGAGACAGGTTATCATTTTCTCTTAGGAAGGGCTNGCATGACTTTAGAAACCTTTTCTTTTGCTGATGCCAAGTAACAAGTGTTGCATTGAAATCATGCTCTTTCAGTCCCTTGCTATGCATCCTGACATGTAACAGCTTGTCACTTATTTCTGGTGCAATCCTGTTCCTCAATTTTGTGGGGATAAGCTTTTGAGCAGAAAAAGCCCTCTTGCAATCTGCTGTATGAAATGGCAACAGCAATGCAATCTGTGCAAGTTTGATGAGGCTGGGAAGCTCATCGCTGTGGTGTGTTGCAAGAAGTTGCCACAACTCCTTCATCTGGTCGACTGGGTAATGTAGTGACCTGACCTGACTATTGACTTTGCTTGAGCCCACTCTCGTCTCACTTCAGCCTTGCTTACCACTGGGGGATGGTGCTTGCCCTTGTAGACCTATGATATGACCGAAAAAAATGAACAAAATGTGGAATACTCGATGGTTTGCAATTGTTACTGTTAGTAAAAGACTAAAAGTAAAAAGTTGTAAAAGATTCCAAGAGTAACTGACATCTATTATCTCCTTACAATATTAATACATAATCAAGAGAAAAGGTAATGAGAATGAATTAGATGATTAGAAGTTCCTTTGTTGAATGTTCTTACAATACCAAACAAGAAAATGTGTGGAGATCAGTCAGGAGAATTTGTATGTGGATAATGGGGCCTAAACTAAAGGGTTAGCCAGGTTAAGCCCTATGTACCTTCTCCTCTCCAAAGTGTTTGAGCAGCTCTTCACTTTCAGTGTTGCCAAACTCTTCTTGATCCTTCTCCAAGTTGATAGTCCGCATTACCATCACAAAAAAGCTGTCCATGAGACTTTTCTTTGGGAATCTAAAAGGAAAGTAGACAAATGATTAGAATTATATTACAATGTTTCTTTAATTTTACTTTGTTTATGTTTTGCATGCAGTTAGGATATATCATAGTCTAACGAGTGTTACCGTTTGTATATGTTTCCAATGAGTTCATCAAGAAACTCATTCTTCAGATCTGCGAATCCAGCAGAAGTTGCTTCTCCAGGAACAACGTGCCCTTTAAACTCATGGTGGCCGTTGACTTCCACAATGTCCTAGTCAAATCTTTCAGTGTGAGTGGGGAACTTCTGTTTTCTATTCCTGTATGCTTGAAGGTCATCTATTAAGCAGTGGTCAACAGATACCTGTGAGCATTATATTGTTGATCACAAGTGCAATGAATAAGAAATATGCTGCATCTCCATTGACCAGTTGGGGATTTACAAGAAGAGAAAACTATTAACAGTCAGTTAATTAACACAGTCAGTTAAAAATTAAAAATACATATAGAAATACAATATATACCTTTGCTTTGGCGACATCAAGATTCTCTGCTTGAAGCTGCAGACACAGGTGTGAAACAATAGGCAGAACATCCATCAAGAGATAGGTGATGTAAATAAATTGTGTTGAGGCCATTGCCTTCAACAGTCCCTTGGCCTTAGGGTCTTTGGAAGCATTCCTTTAATGAAAGTAGCTTATGAGTGGGTCTAAGGTACGGTAAGCAGCCTCCACAGCTTCATAACAGGACAACCACTGAACTGCATGGATCTCTTTATACTTAAGTGCAGGGTGATCAAGAACTTCCTGCACTTTATGAAGCTCCTTCTCCCTTGTTGCTGAAGCTTTCATGCAATAAAACAAAGATGTAAGCCACTCCTGGTACTTCTTTAAGCATGGTATATCATTTGCTGCTTGGCTTGTACAGAGGGCCAACCTGTGTGCCATGCAGTGAATATGTACCATGTGGGCATTTTGCTCCTTCAACCATCCTTTCATGCCTTTGTTTTCTCCGGTCTTCACGCTAGCTCCATCTGACCCAAATCCAATAGTCTTTGAGGGAACTATTTCCCTCTTCTGGGCTTTAGGTAAAATTTCTTGGGCAAGGCCTTCCCCAGTGCCATCCTAATATTCTACGTCCCTTAAAGTAGATCGTTTCAGCCACACATGTTTTGAGTTCAATAATTCTTGCATGCATTGTCATCCGTTTCTTGTTGGCAATGTCTGCACTTTAATTTGCAAACATTGTTACAAATGGAGAATGCTCTATGCGTTCATTGACTTCTTCATCGATTTGTGTACTTATGGCCGAAAGGATCTCATTAGCAGTGTAGTAGCTCTCATAAGTTACTTTCTCGCTTACTTTCATACACCCAATTTTCGGCACTCCAAAATCTTTAAGCAGTTGCATTAGACTTTCCTATTTCCAAAGTGAGCCAAGAAACTACCTTCATTTCTTTAATCATCGCTTAATCTTTACAAAATGCTTTTGAAACAGCAGCTTGAAAGTTTGCTCTTAACTTCTCTGCACTTACTGCATGTTTGTAATCCATCAGTTTCTCGTGCCTTGTAATGCTACTTGTTTTGAATGTTTTGCAACCAGAGGTCATGGTATTTTTTTGCCATGTTTGAGGCAAATCTTACAAAACATGGCATCTCTTTCATACACTAGCCATGACCACAAAGTTAAAGTGCACCTAAACCCCAATTTTTTTTTTGCTTATTATTAAAAACACTTTGCTGTCAAATAACTGAATTACGTGAATATGTACAATACAATAAGACTAATATATGTACATATTATATACAGTGGCTAATAACAAAACTGTCTCAAAATCTGTTAGTCATGCACACGGATGGGGTAAAGGTGTGACCGGATTTAAGGTTGTACATCTCCTGGGAATGTGTTGGGAGTAGATGGTTGAATTTTTGGCTGCCATGCGCAATTTTATTGAATAGAC